AAAGGCAACCCACTGACTGGGAGAAGATCTTCACCAACCCCGCAACTGACAAAGGTCTGATCTCCAAAATATATAAAGAACTCAAGAAACTAGACCGTAAAAGGCTAATCAACCCAATTATAAAATGGGGCACTGAGTTGAACAGAGATCTCTCAACAGAAGAAGTTCAAATGGCCAAAAGACACTTAAGGTCATGCTCAACATCCTTAGCGATCAGGGAAATGCAAATCAAGACAACTTTAAGATACCATCTTACACCTGTCAGAATGGCGAAAATCAAAAACACCAATGACAAGTATATTCTTCAAAGACACTTCAGTGACCTACCTCTTTCAACTTGAACCTACCCTCCAATGAAATCCATCCATGGACTAATCTCCTACTGAAGTTAGAGTTTTGTTGTTGTTGTTGTTGATTTTTATTGAGCTCTATATTTTTCTCTGCTCCCCTTCCTGCCTCTCCCCTCCCCTTCAACCCTCTCCCAAGATCCTCATGTTCTTATTTACTCAGGAGATCTTGTATTTTTTTTTTTTTACTTCCCATGTAGGTTACATCTATGAATGTCTCTCTTAGGTCCTCATAAATGCTGAAAATGGATAAGGAAAAATGAATAAGTTAAATGTGGTACGTTTACACAATGGAGTACTACACTGAAGAAAAAAATAATAACATCTTGAATTTTTCAGGCAAATGGATAAAGCTAGAAAACATCATTTTGAGTGAAGTAGGTTACTGGTGACTACGAAGGACACTAAAGTTCATTTTATATCTTGCCCTGGGCTTGCAGCACTTTAACATCTTCACAATCACTGCAGTTCTAATCAGTTAATCGGCCTTGCAGAAGAGGCAGAAAGGAAAGTTCTTTACAGGAATACCCATTCACCAGCACACTGAAGAAATTCCTACCGACATTTGTGTAACCATAGAAATTATTGTTTTTCCCTATCTTGGCACTCCTGAGTTACAACAACACTCTAGTCACTTCATTTATGCATTTATTTTTGAAAATATTGTTAAAATTGCTATTCTTGGCATACCTGATTGACTCTCCTCTGTATGTGTGTGTGTGTGTGTGTGTGTGTGTGTGTGTGTGTCTGTATGAATGGTTTGAGTCCTTTAGGCGTCATTTAAGAGACAGCCCCTTGCTAGAACAAATAAGTTACTGTAGGTAGATTTGTATAAATTCAACGTGACCCCACTTCCCATTTTCTCTCTCAGATTCCTGTGTGAAGATGATGTATGTATGGTCTGACTGCCTTCCCATTACCCCCTGGATGAGTCTCATTCTCCTGTTACAATGCCTTCACTATCATAACAAACTTTATCCTGTGGATGTATCAGGCAAAACAAATTCTTTTCTTCTCTAAGTCAGTGATTCAGAGGACCAAAATATTCTATCTCAGGAAAATAAATGGAAGGAATGTAATTACTAAAATGCTTTCTGCTTGTCAAACTTAAGAGGTGAATTTGAAAGATTAATTTTAGAATCAGCCTGTGAGTAGAGCTCACTTTCTATGATTTCTGGGCCTTTGCCTATATAAAGTCATATATGTTGTCTGTATTGATATGTATTTTGTCTCTATTACATGAGGTAATTAATAAAATCTTTTTTATTGTAAATAAAGTTATGATTTGATATTTTAACATCTAGCTTGGTGTACCTATTGTAATATTATAAGATAAAACTAGTGTCAGAAAAGTGCAGAGTTAGGTTTTAGGGTCTCTGTTTCATTGTATCATTAAAAAAATATTTGTGTTTTCAATAGAAAATATTCTTTTTTCCTTTTCTACTTCTATTTTTATTTTTTTATTTTTTAGTGATTTTTATTGATCCCTACATTTTTCTCTACTCCCTCCCCTGACTCTCCCCTCCTCTTCAGTGCACTCTAAGGTCCCATGCTCCGAATTTACTCAGGAGATCTTGTCTTTTTATACTACCCATGTAGATTGGATCTATGTATGTCTCTCGTAGGGTCCTCATTGTTGTCTAGGTTCTCTGAGATTGTGATTTGCGGGCTGGTTTTCTTTGCTTTATGTTTAAAAACCACTTATAAATAAGTAATGCGTTAATTGTCTTTCTGGGACTGGGTCACCTCACTCAAAATGATGTTTTCTAGCTCCATTCATTTGTCTGTAGAAATTCAAGATGTCGTTATTTTCTTCTGCTGTGTAGTACTCCATTGTGTAGATGTACCACAGTTTTCTTATTCATTCTTTGGTCGAGGGGCATTTAGGTTGCTGATCCCTTCCAATTTTTGTTTGTCTTTTCCTCTATTTCTTTAAAGGAATTTCTCATTTCCTCTTTATGAGTTTCAAACATTCTCATGAAGCTATTTTTTTCCTACTTCATTTATGTTTGGTTGTCCAAGTCTTGCTGTTGTAGAGTCTTTATGTTTTATTGGTGTTGTGTTACTCTTTGTGGTGTTGCATGTGTTCTTACCTTTTCTACTCATTTTTTTTTCTTCTAATAGGTGTAGTTGGGGCTATCTGTGATTATGTTGATTAATGTTCTAGGTGCCAGTGAATCCAAGGCTCAAATGGTTGTTCCTCCTGGAACAGTCAGTGCCACGGTTCTAGTTGTCCTGTAAGTCACTTAGTATTCCTGGAGGATACTCAGTGCTCCTGGACTTTGTTCTACTCCTTTGGAGTTTGCTGTCTCAGGCCTGCTCTAGCCTAGGTTGTCAGCTCAGACCTAATTTTTAAAATGTCCCTATCTGGATCAGTTCCTGCAGAGGTCTCTTGCTTGGGGTTGATCCTGTAAAGGATTCTGGCTCAGTCTAGTCCCCCAGCATTCTCAGGCTCGGCTCTGCCCAGACTCGCAGAGGACCTGACTCTGGCTTACACCCTCAGAGGTCCCAGAGTCATGCTTGAACCCACAGAGATTTCTGGTTCCTGCCTATTCCCTTTGATGTTCCAGGCCAATGCCTGGACTCAAAAAGGTCCTGGCTCAGGCCTACTTCCTCTGAGGTACCAGACTCACACCTGGAACCACAGAGATTTCTGGTTACTGCCTACTCCCTTGGAGATCCCAGATTCATGCCCAGACACACAGAGGTCCTGGCTTAGGTCTATTCCTTTGAAGGTCTCAGATTCATGTCCTGACCCTCGAGGCCTCCATCTCTGGCTTATTTACTCTGTGGTTGCTCCCCTGTACCTGGTTCCTGTGGAGTTCACTGTCTCAGATCCGTTCTAGCCTAGGTTGCTGGCTCAGACTTGGTTGCAAATGTTTCTGGACTGAATCATCTGCTGCTCTTTGGAGCTTGCTTTCTCAGGCCCACTCTAGTCTAGGTAGCTGGTGTAGTCAAACTCAAAGGCACAGCATATATACAATAAGATCATAGAAGAAAACTTTACCAACCTAAAGAATGATATGCATATGAAGAAAGAAGAAGCTTCTAGAATACCAAATAGACTGGATGAAAAAATATCCCCTTCCCACAGAATAATCAAGACACTAAACATGAGAAGATAGAAAGAATATTGAGAGCTGCAAAGGAAAAGGCAAAGTAATATATAAAGGCAGACCAAACACACACTTTACATCTTGACTGAAATAATGAAAGTCAAGCATTATGCAGACACTATGAGACCACGGATGCTAGCCCAGACTACTAAACCCAGCAAAACTTTCAATCACTATAGATGGACAAAACAAGATATTCCATAACAGAACTAGATTTAGCCAGTATCTAGCCACAAACCTAGCCTTTCACAAAGTTCTAGAAGAAAACCCCAACCCAAGAAAGTTAGCTATATCCACAAAAACACAGACAATGGATGATCTCACAGCAACAAACCAGAAAGAAGGGAAAAACATACACAATAACATCACCAATGATGAAAACTAAAATAACAGGAACTAGCAATAATTCGTCCTTATATTCCAATAATATAAATGGACTCAACTCATGTTTAAAAAGATACAGGCTAGCAGATTGGATAGGAAAACCGAAACCGTCCTTCTGCTGCATACAAGAAACACACCACAACCTCAAAGACAGACGTTGCCTCAGGGTAAAGGATTGGGAAAAAATTTCAAATCAATTGGACCTTAGAAACAAATTTGTGTAGCTATTCTAATATCTAACAAAATCGACTTAAAACTAAAACTAAACAAAAGAGATGAAAAATGGAATTTCATATTAGTCACAGGAAAAATCCATCAAGATGAAATCTCAATACTGAACATCCATGCCCCAAATACAAGGGCACCCTCATGTGTAAAAAAAAAAAAAAAAAAAAACCACTACTAAACACTTGAACACATTGGCACTTATAACCACATCCTAAATATAACCCCAGCAGCACAAAAACTAGTGAAATAATTAAGAAGTGGGACCGCTGTAACTGAGAAGCGTCTGTAAAGCAAAGGATATGGTCAACAAGAAAAAACAGCAGCCTACACAATGGGAAAAGATCTTCACCAATCCCACATCAGACAGAGGACTGATCTCCAAAATATACAAAGAACTTAAGAAATTGGTTGTCAAAAGAACAAATAAATCAATAAAAAATAGAGTATAGACCTAAACAGAGAACCCTCAGCTGATGAATCTAAAATGACTGAAACACACTTAAAGAAATGCTTTTAACATCCTTAGTCATCAGAGAAATGCACATCATAACAACTCTGAGATTCCATCTTACACCTGTCAGAATGGCTAAGATCAAAAACACTGATGACAACTTGTGCTGGAGAGGATGTGGGGTAAAGGGAACACTCCTTTATTGATAAAGTGAGTGCAAGCTACGAAGCAGCTCTCTGTACTGGCTTCTGTTTCAGTTCCTGCTGGAGTTGCTGGTTTTCTCAATGAGAGCCTGTCATCTGCAAGTGGAATCTGAAACCACCCCTTTCTTTCCATATGCTGCTTCTTGTCATGGTGTTTATCACAGTAGCAGAAAGCAAACTAGAACTGGTGAAGGATGTGAGAAAGGTATGTGGTTTGTGTACATTAAAACATAATACAATCCAATATTTTGCACAATACATATATGCTCATGATAAGATTTTAATGAGAGGCTGTTGATGATGATGATAAACCAGAATTCAAGACACAATGAAGTATTTTAGTTTTCAGAGAAGTGATTTAGAATATAATGGGTTTTAGATATTGAGAGGAGAGGTGGTAAGTTCAAGAAAGAATCATTTAGAGAAATGGACTCACAGGTTAGTGCTTTATTAATGGAGCTATTAAGGCCAGGACAGCATGGCAGCATTCTGAAAAGGGCCTCATGCCTGTTAGACGGCGTATTTTCGACACACACTATGTACACACACATGCATGCTATATGGTCACTCTCCAGCAGACAGTTCTCAGCCCCTTAAGGCAAGGATGTGAGACTCAGTGCATACTTGTATTCTCAATTAAAACAAAGTCATATAAGGTATCAAGAAGTGACTGCTTGGAGGACCAATGCATTCTGCAGGGAGCTGAGTCTGTTCTCTGTTAGTACCCAGGACCACCATTCCAAGGCTTGTACCACCTACCAGTGTGGGCCATCCCCCATCAGTCTCTAATTAAGAAAATACCCTACAGTGTTTCCTACAGCGCAATTTTATGGAAGCATTGTTTCAATTGAGTTTCCCTCATTTTATTTGACTCCAACTTGTGTCAAGTTGACAGAAAAATTAGACATGACACCTTCCTCTGAGAATTTCAGGTAGTTGTACTGCTACTGTGATTCAACATTGTAATGGTCATGTCACACCAATACCCAGCCCTCTAGGTCCTTGGGGCTGTGTCTTTTTATTTCTTAAAGAAATTTCATTTAAGATCTACCAGTTCTCTGACTGCTTTAGTGTAAAACCTGATAATCTTCTTAATATTCCTATATAACTTATAACTCAGACATTATAATTCATACTTTAATCTGTGTACAATTGTATGATTCCATTAGATAGTTTTCTCAGTATAGTTTTTAGAAAGGTAAGTTTCCAGGTGGGATGACCATGGATTCAGCATTCTATGTCCACCAAATACTCACTGATTCATGACAACCTACCAGTTCTAGCTTCTCTGACCTACCAGCTCACCCTTGACTTTCCTTTTTCACCTTACATTTTCCCTTTAATGTAAAATTGGTGTCCCATTCTGGACAGGCTCAAACAGCCACGAAGCACAATTATTCATGGCCTTTGCATGAACTCTTGCCTCCATATTTCTGCCTGGTCTGAGTTCTTTCCTTGGCTTTTCTCACTGTAGGAAATCCTTTTAAGTAACTGACCACTTGGGTGTGGCCTCTTATACTATTTATGCAGATGTAAAGCTTGCATCTGTCTTCTCTCTGGTTGCGGGATTTGGTTGCTGTTCTCCATTCCATTAGAGGATACTGATTTGTGAGACTACCCCAAAATAAATAACCATCTATTATTCTCAATTCTGAGCTACTGTAAGATTTCTTTTAAGCATGCTTCTTTATCTGGTGTCCACTTGGATTCGGACTTCACACCTACTTGGGTGGACAACTTAAAGGCCTAGCTGGTCCACAACCAACAATGTCTCCAAACCCAGCCTGTTGGGCTTGTGTAGTTTCTGGTTTGTGCTCCCTGCCTGTGAGTTCTGGGTTTCTTGTTCCATGTATGGAATTGATTTAATTGCTTTTAATTTGTTAAGAAAAGCATATTTCTCAGTATTTAACCAGTATCAAGGCTGGAAACTGAAGCAGCTCAGGATTGTTCCTGTCGCCACAACTCTGCAACAATGACATCTGCTGGACAATAAGATTATTACACTTAATTTACTGGATCTCATAAAGGTAATTAATAAATCAAATTAAATAAATGGCCGACTACATTAAAATTGAATCTTTTAGTACATTTTTGCTAATACTAGGGATTGTATTCTGCAAGGCTTATATGGTTATGAAGATACTTCAATTAATTGGGTATTGGGACTCAGTTTTTTATTCATGTTATATCATTAAGAAAGAAAGTGGCACTTCTAGCAATGATACAGTCTTTACAGACTAACAATGTACAGCTAGTTGGCAGGATTAATACCATCAAATATTAAAAGTTACCTGAAAAAATAATACTATTGAAAAGGGTAACATTAATTTGACAGACAAAATTGAATCCATATTTAAGGGTACTGATAAATTATCTGAAAGAATTCATACTGTTGAATTTGACAATCAAAATTTGTTAAAAAGTTGTGATAGGTTATCAGATGGAGTATCTCTCCAGGATGCCAATCTGCACACTTTCCAAAGGAATGAGAAGACAACAAAATGCCAAATGTTTTAATTGTGGTAGAATAGAACATCTGAGAAGGGATTGTAGACAAAGAATTCCCAGGAATAATAACTCCACTGGGAATGACAAGAATAGGAAGATTCAACTATGTAGAAGGTATGGCAAAGGTTGACAATGGACCAATGAATGCAGATCAACAAAAGACAGACAAACCAACCTGATATCATTTGGAAACTTCTTGAGGGGCATCTCATAGGCCCCCAAGCCAAAAGTGGCAAAGGCATTCCCAGTCACTGTGGAGGACATATTTCACCAGGAAAAGTAAAAATCCAGAGCATTCTGTAAAAGACCATACTGTTCTAGATGATGGCTAAACATAGACGATAAATCAAAAATTCCAATAGGAAATAAGAAATGTATATTCTGGCAGACTTCTATAAATGATCAAACACCAAAGCTAAGAGTGTGTATAAATGGCATTGTAATTGTTGGTTTGATAGACACAGTGGCCAATGTGAATATCCATTACTCCAGTATATTGGCATTCAAATTAGCCTCTTCAAGAGGCAGATGTTCAATTACTAGGAATTGGAACCTTATCTCAATTTAAACAAAGCATGAGATGGGTTGACTACATTGGGCCAGAAGGTCAGAGAGGGAAGCTGAGGCCATTTGTGGATAATATTGTATTACATTTATGGAATCCTGACCTACTACAGCAATGGAATACCCAGATTAACATTCCTGCTGTCCCAGGAATTCATAATTCTGGGAAGGCTATTATAAGTTTCTATACACAAAGGTCACCAGCCATTCAGACTGTACAAGAACATAAAGCAACTAGCAAACTTTTAGAGGTACTAACAGCCCTATGTTTAAAATTGTTAACTGAGAAACCAATATAGGTTAAGCAATGGCCATTAACAGAAAAAAAGCTGCAGGCTTTAGAACAACAAAGAGTTACAAGAGCAACTAGATGCTCACCATAATGAAGAATCAACCAGCCCTTATAATTCTCCTGCAATTGTTAAAAAGAAATCTGGTAAATGGAGAATGGTAAGTCAACCTGTGGGCCCTCTACAATCTGTAATTTCTCTGCCTTCTCTATTACCAAAAGGATGGCCTCTTATAGTGATTGATTTGAAAGATCATTTCTTCACTATACCCTTACAAGAAAAGGATAGAGAAAAATTTGCCATCATAGTGCCTACTTATAAAAATTTCAGCACGCTAGGCAATATCAATGAACTGTCCTCCAACAAGAAATGCTCAATAGCCCCAATCTGTGCCAATACTTTGTAAGTGAGCCATTGGAAAGAATATGTAAGCAATTTCCAAGGTCTATAATTTACCATTACATGGATAACATATCTGACTCAAACATATATACTTTAGAAAGAATGTTTGAAAAAGTAAAGAAAGTTTTGCCAACATGGGGATTACCATTTGCTTCAAAAAATACAGAGAGGAGATTCTGTAAATTACCTAGCTTATAAAATATGTTTGCAGAAAAATAGAATACAAAAGGTACAAATTAGGAGATACCAGTTACAGACTCTTAATGACTTTCAAAGATTGTTAGGAGACTTTTCCAGCCTACAACCAGCTGTTGATATAACACCTGATCTAATAATTCATTTAAACAAAACCTTTGATGGTGATAAAGACTTGAATAGTCCCAGAGAATTAACAGCTGAAGCAGAAAAGGAATTGATGATTGTTGTGGATAAATTACAGGAGGCACATGTGGATAGGGTGAACCCAAATCTTAATTGTATTCAAGTTATATTGCCTTCCAGGATTTCTCCTACAGGAATTTTAATGTAGAGGGACAATATTATCTTAGAATGGATTTTTTTACCACATGAACCATGTAAAAGAATAAAATTTATGTAGAAAAGTCTCTAAATTAATTATAACACGTAACAAGATAAGGAAATTATAAAGAGATGTCCTACTTGCTTTTTCTATAATCAAACACTGCTACCTGCAGGGAATTGCCCAAAGGGTACTCAAAGTAAAGAAATCTGACAGATGGATGTGTTCCACTTTGCAGAATTTGGAAAATTAAAATATGTACACCACACTCTTGACACTTATTCAGGTTTTCAGCGGGCAACTGCTTTAAGCTTAGAAAAGGCTGATTCTGTAATCGCACATTTATTAGAAGTTATGGCCATCATGGGTATACCTGAACAGATAAAGACAGATAATAGTCCAGCATATGTCTCTAGGAAAATGAAATAATTTTTTGCTTATTATAATATTAAACATATTACATGTGTATACCACTCCAGTATACAGGTCAGGCAGTTATAAAAAGATCAAATAGAAGTATAAAGGATATGTTAAACAAACAGAACACATCCATCTGTCAGATTTCTTTAATTTGAGTAAAGAAATATATATATTTATAAATATAATATATAATACATATAATATATATATATAGCTGGTTTTGGCATTGGACAATAGCTCTGTCCTTCTCTACATCCAAGCATGTTGTTAAAAGGATTATTCATGGTTTCTGTCTCATGTCAGGAACTGTCTGGTATGAGACAGGAAAAAATATTTAGAAGAAATTTTACTTTTCTTCACACCTATTTTTGTCTCTATCATATCTTTCATTGAATATAAATGTCTGTATATATCTATAAAAGTAATGTTTATGTTTTCCACAATAAATATTGAATTTGGAAGATTCCAGGTAAATGATGGGGCTCCACAGCAACAATTCCACCAGGCTGATGTGACCTCATGATGCTGATAGTGCTACCATAAGACCTCTTTTGAGTGCCAGCTGTTCAATATGGTTTCAACTTGGTTAGCTGAAATGGTGCACTTTTTTAAAACAATGTTCTGGACAGAACTCTAAATAGGAACCTCAGAAAAATCCTACTGAATACTCAGAAACTATTTGCAATTATACCAGACAGTAATCTTGGAACTTAACCATCATTTTACTTTCACAAGATTCCATAAAAAGAACATTGCCCCCCATGATAAGCGAGGAAGAATTGATAGAAATGAGAAAGAAGAATAAAGAAATACGGATGGACAATTCTTGCTGAGTAGATTTTTACCCCTCAAATCTTTATCTTCAGATTTCTAGCCTTTTTTTTAGTGGTCTGTGGTGTCCTTAATTTTACCCTGAATGAGAGTCTTAATGGTTAAAACTTTTAAGGCTCTCTACAGATTGTGAAATAATTTTGGAACATTGGGATAGAAAACCACTGAGTGTTGGGAGCTCAATGGGTATTTAGGAAAACGTAGGTGATAATGCTGAGAGCAGGTGCAGATGATGGAGGCCTGGTTTCTGAAGTTCAGTGGGAAGTTTGAAAGCTTTATTGAGCTGTCACTATTTTGGATTAAGAATCTGTGATGTCTGGTTATCTGGGGCTGAAGAAACAACCTTCATTAACAAGAGACCAATACCATTGGAATGAAACCTTTGTTTTTCTCGTTGACCTATGAGGGTCAACGAGAGCTGGGAAATTAACAGTGAGTCATAAGAGACCAGCTCTACTGAGATGAAATCTTCTAGGGAGTGTTTCCTTAAAGTCCACGCACAGAAGCTGTGCTCTAGAGGTGGCCCAGGTTGTAGTTCATGTTGTCAGCCAGAATTCGCCCAGAGGATACTGGTTTTGAAGGCATGAAGGAATCATGGAGAGCAGCTGGACCTTGGAACACTAAAGTATCAGGCTAGACCATTGGTCAAAGTGCAGCCTGTGTAGCAGTTGAAGACCCAGGATTAATGGGGTCATAAGGAGAAGCTGAAACTTGACACCATGCAGAAATTCCAGGAGAGGTATTGGTTAAATTGAAGCTCAGTTACAGAAGGAGACCTCAAGATTTTGGAGATGCCAATATCATGGGATGACAACTAGTGACAGCACCAGCTGTGGACTGGAGTCAGCCTGAGTTGAGAAGATAAGTTTACTGTGTTTTGAATAGGTGTGCAAGCCTACTAAACCGCAGAAGATCATGAGTGGATTCCAGACATTGGATACTAAATTACTTACACAGTTCAATATTGATTTTACTTTGTTCCAATTGAGACAGTGCCCTTGTTCTTCCCTCTTGAAGAACTACTCTTGAAATAGGAAAGTGTTTAATTTATTTTTGATTTCACAGGAACCTACCGTTAAGGGATTTTGAAATTTTAAAAAGTTCTTAAGTTTTAGAAGACACTTTGGCTTTTTTTTTTTTTTTTTTTTTTTTTTTTTTTTTTTTTTTTTTTTTTTTTTGGTTTTTTCGAGACAGGGTTTCTCTGTGGTTTTGGAGCCTGTCCTGGAACTCGCTCTTGTAGACCAGGCTGGTCTCGAACTCACAGAGATCCACCTGCCTCTGCCTCCCGAGTGCTGGGATTAAAGGCGTGCGCCACCACCGCCCGGCAACACTTTGGCATTTTAAAGAGACTGAATTTTAAAGTTTTTGAATTTGTAAAATTAAAAATTTCAAAATACTTTATGTTGTGATGTTGATATTAATATGCCATCTTGGGGATAAATGGGAAAGGAAATTTATAGCTTAAAAGTGATGTGTTTGTGTGTCAAGTTGTCAAAGGGTTAATTGTGCTGGCTAGTTTTTATATCAACTTGACACAAGCTAGAGTCATATTGAGAAAGAGACTCCATAAGATCAGGCTGTAAGCAAGCCTAAAGGGCATTTTTTTAATTGGCAATTGATATGGGGAGGCTCAGTCCATTTTGGTTGGTGTCACCCCTATGCTGGTAGGTTCTGTGTTCTACAAGAATGGTGGTCGAGCAAGGAATGAACAAGCCACTAAACAGGAATCCTCCCTAACCTTTGTATCATTTCCTGGCTCTATTCCTGCCCAGTTTCAGTTCCTGCCTTAGTTTCCCCTCAGTGGACTTGTAAGGCAAATAAACCCTTTCTTCCTTGTCTTAGTGTACTATTGCTATTATTTCTATGAAGAGATACCATAAGAAACACAAATCTTATACCCGGAAGCCCCTCCACAAGCTATGAGAGAAAGAAGAGATCTCTGTACCACTTTTAAATGAACCAATTTAACATCTAGAAGCAAGTGCACATTTATGAAGGAGGCAGGAAGCGAACTGAAGGTACAATTTATGATATAACTTTATTAATTTCCATGCTGTTTCTAACCCATCTTTCATATTTACAACACTTTTTTTTTACAGGAGGAACTATCATTATCTTTGCGACTCCTAGATAAAAAGATTTATAAGCAATGTATGCACCACCAATTTAGAGCACACAGCAGTCCAGGACATGGATATAAAAACCGTAGCCTAATCTTCACATCCTTCCCTGGTCACCTTCCTTCTCTCCCTTCACATATTAGTGGCCCCATTGGCTCAGAGGATTGCTAGGTAGTTCCTGTTCTGTCTCTGATTTCACAGTCTAGGGACAGCGCAGAGATGGTGGCTGACTGTGGAAATGGGGACGCCCAATCTAGACTTCAGGCTCAGCTTCTCATTGACTGGCGGCTTGAAAGTAAATTTTTGCACAAGAGCAGTGAAGAAAATAAAGAGCTCAGACCTGGCCAGTTGTTCTCCAAGGCAAGCTCGCTTTCCTGCAGGAAATGAAACAGAAGACGAGAGAGTTTCTTAGTTGGCATTAGTGACTACAGGGAATGGCATTTCCATTTTCCTTCTGTAAATCTTGAACTGTATCTGGGCTTTGTGTCCAGCTGTTTATTTATGTTTCACATGTGTTTGAAAGCAGAATGGTCTACTGAAATTGGAACTCCAGGATCAAAGGGGGGGGAGTAGGAGGGAAGTTTGAGGAGGGGAAGGATTGGGAATTTTTATTGGTATTATTGATAAAGTAATAAAAAAATTAAAAAGGCATCCTTTCTGCAACCCTAGTGCAGTTCTGGAAGCTGGCATCCTGTACTGTGAAAGAGACACCTGAGCTGGATGATAGAATGTATGACTAGTCTCAAGGCTTTCAAATTTGTTTAATAAACATATATGCTATACCATACAATGACTTAGCAGCAAACTCATGGGCTGCTATATAACCCTTTTGAGGAAGAGATAGCTTAATGATTAATATTATTTACTACTCTATCAGAGCACTGGAGTTCAGGTCTCAGCATCCACATCAGGAGGTGCACAAACACCTGCAACTCAAGATTCAATGCCTCTTTCAGGCTTCCACAGGCTCCATCACATACGTACATGTTATGTATATACAGAGACACATTTACACATATGTAAGTAAAATAAAACATAGAGAATAAAAAAAGATTCCACAATATAAGAAGGTGTTAGAGCTGAGTCCCTGACATGAAAGTCAGAGACATACAGGCTTCCCTTGCAAAGGTTCTAGATTATTAATTTTGTCTGCTCATCCATGATGGACAAGTAGAAGACATCTCTTCATTCATTTTGTACCTGTCTCTTGTCTCAAATATTGAATCAGATTCCTGCTGAACCCTACAGACAAGCATGTCCATCATTTAGTGAGTACACATCTACCCCTCGCCATCATCGTCCCTCTCAAGCATGAAGATGCTGAGATAGGAGGATATAAGGTACAGCTATCAAATTGAGAACAGCTCGTGATTCTCCTGCAAAGCCCTGAAGTTGCACCCAGAAGTCTTCAGTCATTCTCTTAAGACATCCAAGACCAGCAGAACCTGGCATACTCCATTGAATGACAGGTGCAAGTCCTTTGATCTCATAGAGGACAACAGCTTAGCTTCCCTTCTAGACTTTCTGCTCTGAGAAGTCCACATCCTACAAAGAAAATGTCTTCAGGAACAGTGGAGATATGCTGAGCACCAAGTGCAAATTGCTCCTTCCCTAGAGGTGGTCATTTTCTGGATGCTAATGTCCTGTGTGACCAAAACTGAGATAATGACCAGCAAGACTCAGTGTGACAAAGACTGTGGCGACCAGAGTGCACATGCTTCTTCCTACCTTTTTCACTTAAGCTCAGGACTCAGGTCCACAAACCGGAAGGTGTGTCAGGCAGCTGTCTTTCCCTCCACTTTCCTGCATCATCATAGGAAACACTGATGTCACAAGCTAGGCCTAGGTGTGCTGTCTCTTTTGTCCTCTTCTCTCGGGCCAGATTCCCCAACTTTTTCATACCTTTCAAGTGTTTTTGTTTTTTAAAGAGTATAGAGTATGATTTTCGACTGGGGCCATGACCATCTGCCCTGTTGTTCAGATGTCACTTATGTTACATAGGTTTCTCTTCTAACCTCTGCTGCCAATTGATTATGAGATTTTCTTTTTGGGGAACATTTGATGATGGTAGAGTCTACCACATTCTTCATTAATCAGTGCTTTAATTTTTGTATGTAAACTTATTTTGAGATTCTTAATAAATTAATATTCATCTGCTTGTTCCTTTTGGTATTTTGCTTCCAAATTTTGCATCTGGCTCCCGATTTTGACATTAGAAAATTTATCACTTCTCTCAGGTAATATATATTTCAGTTCTTAAATATCTAACCTTTATTTTTATTTTATGTATGTGAATGTTTTGTCTGCATGCATGTCTCTGCACCACATGTGTGTAGTGCCCATTGTACCCAGAAGAAGGGGACAGATCCCTGAGATGTTTGTGGGCTGCCATGTAGGTACTGGGAATTAAACCTTGGTCCTCTGGAAGAGCAACCAGTGCTCTTAACCCACGCCCAGTGTTCACATTCCAGTGCTATTCATCCTCTCTATATTTAACCACTCAGGTTCATCAGTAGGTGTTACAATCCATTGCTAACCAGCCCTTATTTTAAAATCCCATACATTTCAGACTTGATCACTCAAGTTGGTGTTTCCTGATTTTTGAATAACAGTGTATACAAACATACAGGTTTTCCTTCTCCAAGACTAAATTTTGTCATTTCCCATAAGTCCTGGTTCTTTTTACCAAATAAGAATATGTAGAATATAATACAAAGCACCTGGTCATGAGGCTTACAGTGTCACTTATGGAGTTCCTAGCCTGGACTAATCACTGCTCTGTCCTCTATTCTGGCTCTAGAGATCTTGATCACCACCAATCAGAGCACAGGAAGAGATGTAAAGCAGGGGAGCAAAGATTCTCTAAGCCACTGACCTCATGTGGAAACCCATGAGCAGTAACAGGTTCTTATCAAATGATGCAGTTTGTGATGCTAACTGATAGAAAGGACATGGACTTGGGAAATCTTCAAATGGATGGGCCCATAACTCTGGGGACAAGTCATGGTCTGGATGTATTACAAAGAGAAGTAAACTACAAATAAGAGCATAAGACCCTGCTCTGTCAGTTCTTGGGAACTATGATCTTGAATAAGAAAGAAGTCACTTCTCTCTTTTATAGAGTCTGCTTATGGGGTGAAAGGAAACATTTCTTCCTTTCCTACCTGAATATTAATAACTATATTGCCTTGGCGATTATCTGACGCACATAATTGAGGTGTGTAATTTAGAGTAAGTGATAACATTCTGAATAACAGCACGTGTGGGCTTCTCTGTGTTGCTACTTTTATTTTACAACTGGTATAGATGGGAGAATTCTTTTTAACTGGGTGAGGTACAAGGCCTCTAAGGGAAAAGGAGTTTGCACTATTGTGAGGAGAAGGCATGTTCCTGGGCAGCAATGTGCCTGGAGGAATATCTTCCTGGGGAAGACATGTTGGGGTCTATTCTCATTCTTCTCACCATGGTCCTAAGAATTATCACACAAGGCATTTATTCGAAATATATAAAGGATCATATGCGTAGTATTTCAGTATTTCATTGATCTGCTTCATTAACTTGAATAAGTGAAATATGTAGCTGAGGTTTTGTACTGTAATTCAAACCTTTATAATTTTTATAAATAGGAAGAAGGGACAGAGTCTCTGTGTCTTATCATCTCTCCTATTAAAGTGTGTTGTGAACAGTGAGCAAAGGGACTGACGGAAAGACAAAGAGGTCAGAACAAACCCAGGGCAGCCCTGCCCCAAGAAACATCGGCCCTGTATCAACACTAAGCTATGCAGACAAATGCAGTCTCCACCTGGTCTGAGCCTCCACATCTTGAGATGTGACCCTGCCTTAGATAATCTGCCAGCTTAATAATCTTATCCAGCATTTCAGTGTGCCTTCTGTGCAGCATTTAGTCAACGTCTGCAGACAGTGTTAGGAAACACAAGCTTCTATGTGAGAAAATCTGGTGGACACTGAGCTCCAGGAGAAGCACATTTGTCTAGGTCTGAGTCCTTTTCTCTGCAGTGCTCACTGATTCCAGCTTGGAAGGCGGCAGTGGGACGCATGCTCCAAGGGGGAGTGCTGCTTCATCTTCTGTCCCACACTTTCCTGCTCTCAGGCTGTTTGTTTTTTAGGTTAAAGCTTATAAGACAATTATGAAATTAAAGAATTGGCAATTTATATATAAGTGAATATCTAGAATATTTGGTTATTGATTCCACACCACTACCAATGCAGTCTTCATTAACTTGCCTGGCAGAAAGCACAGGGGAGAAAGAGTCATCACTGCATTTCCTTTTCTGCATATCAGGTGGTGTGGCAGGAGCATGTACTAACTACATTTAACAAAGTAGGTCCATTTTAGAAAGATAAGCCCTATTCAGGGATTGTTCATGGTATAGAAGACTATTCACATCAGCAAATGCCAGTTAAAACTATCTAACAACTAAAAATACCGAAACTCTGCTCTCTTCATTGTCAGGAACCATCCCTTAAAAAGAAAAGTGACTATAAATACCATGTCTTGAAATCCCCGTCCCCCCCCCCAAAAAAAAAGTCTACACAATGGAATTCAGCTTTCTTGCTTTCAGGAAGAGGCAGGCCTTATGTCTGTGTTGTCAGTGAAGTAGAAAACATAACAAAGAAAGTTGAACTTTCCATCAGAAACAAGGAGGATTTACACTGTATGTGTGTATAATATATGTGGGTACTGGACTGAAACCAGCTTCAAAATGGAGCTATATGGGAAGGCCCATCTGTCCGGATTCCAGAAAGAAGAGAAGAGATAAGGTGAAGCACTGAACCCCCTCCTGCTCATCACAACTCACCCATTGAGAAAGGCAGAAAAGATTCTCTCTTCCTAAACTCTCCATTCTCCAAAAAGTGCTCCGGATTGAAGACATCTGGGGTGGCCCATTCGTTGGGGTCCCTGTGCAGGGCAGTCAAATTGGTCTGGAGCATGGAGCCCTAGGGAAGGCAGCAAAGGCTCAAATAACGCATGGACTAGACACACAGAGGGTTAGTGGTTAACAGACTTCCATTCCTTAGCCTACTTACCTTGGGCAGGTGGAATCCCGCCAGTGTTGTGTCCACTGTCACTTCCCTGGGAACATTTAGAGGAACGATATTTGCCATTCTCTGCACCTCATGGACAACAGCATTGGTGTAGGGCATGGCGTCTCGGTCATTCAGGCTGGGCTGCTTCTCCTGGCCAATCACTCTGTCAATTTCAGCCTGGACTTTTTCTTCAAGGAAATGGGAGGCTCCATTAAGTTTTGAAATGTACATAAATTGGTATAATCATGATAGCATATGGTAGACGCTTCCTCTCAGTATCTTCACTATCTTAGAGCAGTAGAGACTCAGCTGTTTACCTGCTTCGTAGCTAAAGAAGACATTTCCTAGATTCCTTACAGAGAAAATGTGAGAGAACTAAAACATTAGCAGACATGGTGTTTCATCTTTGGGACAAAGCTTGTAGAGACAATGTCCCCTTCCTTCTCCAGTTCCCTCCCTGGGGTGCAAAGGCGATTCTCATGGGAGCCACTGCAGAGTCTGCGAGCCTCATCTGAGCTCACCACCGCCACAAGGTGAAATGAATTTGGAACTCTAGGTCCTTTACTAGGGCCAGCATGATTCTTTCTCCTGAGAGAGAGATATAAATATCTAACATTGGCACTACTGTATAAATAAAAGAATTAAATGGAAATAAATTTCATATTATGCATATTGATATCCTCCTGTTTTATTTCTAAATAGAATGATATTTAGTTTGGTGTGATCCAGGAAGATGTTTCATTATCCATGGGAGGAAGTTATAGAACTAATTAGAGAGAAGAACATGATCATGGAAACAATATAAAGTCACTTTCTGTTTCAAGATAGTGTAGACTTTTCCTCTTGATCTTCTTCTGGAACCGTGGGAATATCTGGACTGTTGTTTTACTTCTGATCCATTGGTAGGCATATCAGTGCACCCATGCAAAATACAGTAGCCTCTGACCACTTCTCACTAGTCGAATCCTTTCCACTCTAGGACATGCACTGATAGAACATTCAGTAGTTGTCCAAATTCTTTTTTTTTTAAATTTTTTATTTATTTATTTATTTATTAAAAATTTCTGTCTCTTCCCCACCGCCGCCTCCCCTTTCCCTCCCCCTCCCCCAATCAAGTCCCCCTCCCTCGTCAGCCCAAAGAGCAGTCAGGGTTCCCTGCCCTGTGGGAAGTCCAAGGGCCACCCACCTCCATCCAGGTCTAGTAAGGTGAGCATCCACGAAACTGCCTAGGCTCCCACGAAACCAATAGGTACAGTAGGATCAAAAACCCATTGCCATTGTTCTTGAGGTCTCAGTAATCCTCATTGTCCACTATGTTCAGCGAGACCGGTTTTAACCTGGGCTTTTTCAGACCCAGGCCAGTTGGCCTTGGTGAGTTCCCGATAGAACATCCCCCTTGTCTCAGTGTATGGGTGCACCCCTCACGGTCCTGAGTTCCTTGCTTGTGCTCTCTCTCCTTCTGCTTCTGATTTGGACCTTGAGATTTCAGTCCGGTGCTCCAATGTGGGTCTCTGTCTCCTTTCATCGCCTGATGAAGGTTAATATTCAGGAGAAAGCCTATATGATTTTCTTTGGGTTCTCCTTCTTATTTAGCTTCTCTAAGAACCTGAATTATAGGCTCAATGTCCTTTATGAAACCAAATATGAGTGAGTACATCCCATGTTCCTCTTTTTGGGTCTGGCTTACCTCACTCAGGATGGTGTTTTCTATTTCCATCCATTTGCCTGCAAACTTCAAGAAGTTTTTGTTTTTTACTGCTGAGTAGTACTCTAATATGTATATATTCCATACTTTCTTCATCCATTCTTCAATTGAAGGGCATGTAGGTTGTTTCCAGGTTCTGGCTATTACAAACAATGCTGCTATAAACATAGTAGAGCATATACTTTTGTTTGTGCCCTGATGACAAAATGTAAAGCATTGCCTAAGGAAGAAAAAGAGATCTGTGAAGATAGTTCTGAGACAGGAGAACCTTTTTTCAACATAGACTCAGCAACAGCATGAGTCAAAGGCAAGACGGGAGCTCACAGGCTCATCTCCTCCTCCATGCATGTAACCAGCAGCCTCCAAATTTTGACAACCCAGAATGCAACTGGGTCAGTTGCCTTTGTTTTTTTTTTCATTGTTTCTATTTCTTATCTCCTTTTTTTCTTTACTTTTCCAAGACTTTTAAGTGGACAGTGTTTTTTTTCAGAACTATCATTATTATATTTTTAGTTTTTATTCCCCTTCATGAATTCATCTAAAAGTATTTATCAATTTTCTTTTCATATGGAGAAAATAACATTTCTCTTCCATAAATTATTTTTATAACCTATGATATTCACTTGTATATAGTAGTACTTTGATTTTTAAATATAGTATCTTTATATTTTACTTCTTTTCTTACATTTATTTAATTTTATTTCTCAACCTTTTCACTATTGAGCAATATATTTAATGCCTCCCTTAAGCTGCTCATATATTTCTCTTCTCCCTCATAACATTTCTCTCTACTTCCTCATTTTGAACTTCTCTTCTTTTTCTTTTTCCTACTCTCTTCCTTTTATCTCACTTATTTACTGTTTCAAGATTACCTTAAGTAATTTTGTCATCATAGAAAATTGCATAGTAGCCTTCACATTTTCATTTCAACACTGACATTTACTGAACTATCAATGGTTTTAATTGTGTTATATATGTATGTATATATATGTATAATTTAATTTGTTGCCAGAATAGTTTGATTCCACTTCTAAAATGATACTAGTCTTTGAAAAGAGGCTTCTCAATATGAACGTAATTAAAAGAACCCAGAAGAGATATCCTGATCAATAGATGCGCACATTAAAATAAATGCAATAATGAAAAGGGCAAGATGATGTCTCTTAAAATCATAACTCAATGCAAAGACCCTGAAATATGTCAAATGTTGGGTGTCCAAGCATTTTCTGATCAAGATGATCGAAGATTGAAAGGAAATACAATGAGGCAAAGGAGTCCAGTGTGGGCTCTAGAGGTGAAAGTCAACCGAGTGGAGGAAACAGGGGAAGGGAAGAGAGGCAGCATAGAGATGAAAACTGGGCAGAATCAGAGAAAACACAGCAAGGAAACTGAGATTTTATAAAAACAAACAAGAAATTAAAGTGTTGAACATTTTAAAACTGAATCAAAAGCAATACATGACAAAGCAAAAGAAAACAAATATAAAAACCACAGCAGAAAACACCAACAATAGTCTCCACTGCAGAGAAGATCCGGAAGAGAGAATCCCTGATGAGAAGCTGCAATCCAAGACCAGCAACAAAGATTGGAAATAATGACCACAGGCAGAATGAAGAACTTTTATATGGTCAAGAGACCTAGAAATGCACAGGACCTGAATTCAGAAGCTGAGCTAAAAAGCAAAGGGAGGGAAAATGAATTCAATGAAATCACAGGAAATAATTTCCCAAGTCAGTCAAAAAAATTCAAATACAAGATTCATTTAGATCCCCAATTAAACATGACTAAATAGGAACAACATAGTATATCAAAACCATAAACCAAAGAAGTAATATTTATTGTTTCAAAGGGTTTATCACAGATGATTGCCCAGTTAGTAAAGGTGCTGCTTACACAAGACCAACATCCACACCCACATATACACCTTGCAAAATGGATATTAATTAAATTTAAGATATTAAGTTCTAATGGAAATATTTCTATTGACATTCAATGACTGACACGACCATCATGACAGCACTGAAGAAGATACTTAAGTGAGAGCTGAACACAGAGAAGGAAGAAAGATGAGTCTCAATCATGAGAGCACAGGGAAGAATAAATGGTATGAGAACAGCCGGATAAAGAAGGGCCTGGAAGGAATCCATCATGTCTAGCACAGTAAACAAGCAAATCCTTGTTAGTATTCTATCAAAGTAAAGTATAATCCAAGTAATCCAAGCAACCAGAAAAACAAAACAAAACAAACAAACCACTGATGTAACTACCATGACTACTTAACCTCTCTTCATAATACCTTAGTAAATCCAGAAAGCAAACAGAAACTGGAAACAAGTTATTCAAAATTAGCTAGAGGAGATAAAGGAGGCCACAACACATTCATAACAGGAACAATTTATTAGTTAGAACAACTGTAAATATGCATATATCATATTTTGGGACTCCAAATTTCATAAAACAATTAACAATTAATATGAAGTTCAGACAGATTCTCATGAAATAATTATGGTAATGTCAGCAGTACTCCACTCCCATCCCTGCATAGGCCATCCCAAGAAAAACCAACAGAGAAGCTTCAGAGCTGAACTGTACCGTAAATCAAATGGACTTAACAGATACCTGAAGAGAATTATATCCAAATGAAACCAAAAATATTTTCTCCTTAGCCACACCTGGAATTTTCTCTAAAAATAAGAACCGAGTCTTAGCAAATAAAAAAGAATAAAATAATTTTCCATATCCAAATAGACCATAGTATGATAAAACTAAAATTCAATAGCAAGAAATACTATAGAAACTTCAAAAATACAAAGAAATAAAAAATAAATTCTTGAATGATCAATGGCTCATTGACAAAAACATGGAGAAAAATGTCAAGACCTTACAACCACATAAAGATAAAAGCTCAACCTACCAGGCAACTAGGGCAATTCTAAGAGGAACATTTGTATAGGAATGAGCACAGGGACAGACAACCCAACAACATGGGAGTAAAGATTTATGTCTACATGAAAACACAAGAAAAGTCTTTGTGGCAGCATGAACAATTAAAATATTCACAACAGTGTTATTAATACAAACTTTAACTTAGAAACAACTGGATGTCTAACCACTGAGAAAAGATTAATAAACAATGAATACAGGCTAGCAAAGCAAAACATGTACAGAGGAGGATAGCTAGAAAGTATGCTTGTAGTTTGCATGTGAGATATGAAGACACATGGGAGAGATAAAGGCAAAATCAACAATAAATATCTCCATTATTTAAAAAAAGACAGCATTTGGACATGCATGGATCCCACATATATGTTGGAACTTTATTAAAATATTAGAAATGCTTTTTTATACACAGTAAGTTTTCTTATTGGAAACTTCCAAATCGACAGATAAATTAGTGACAAACTCAACTCAAAGACATTATATTTTAGCTTCAAATAGTCCTGGGAACCCTGATTGCTCTTTGGGCTTTTGAGGGAGGGGGACTTGATTGGGGGAGGGGGAGGGAAATGGGAGGTGGTGGCGGGGAAGAGACAGAAATCTTTAATAAATAAATAAATAAATAAACAAACAAATAAATAAATAAAAGGAAAAACATGTTTGTACTTGAATTAGCCCCAGTCCAATTTTATCCCGATATAAAAGAAACTAGAATGCTTACCCGGACCATCTTTGAGGAAGTCAAACTTGTGGCCTCATTCAGTAACCTCAGGAGCTCCTGAAACTGACTGTCATGGTACTCAAAACGCTCACCAAAGGTGATGGAGCAAATGATTTTGGAAACAGCATTGTTGATCTTGAAATGAGGGTCGAAAGGCTGTCCTGGAGGTAGATCAAGAAAAAGATGCATCTTTCAAAGATATTGGTTTGTTAATTCCACATGACAAAGAAACATACATAACAGAGAGCTATGCAAAAGGCTCTGGATTAGCTTGATATGCGGTTTAACGTACACCAAAGAATCTGTTCATATCTGGGTAGCCAGACAGGTGACCAGGCCTTAAGACAGCAGGGAGTCTAATGACCATTTGTGTGATTAGCTGCAAACTCTGGGGCAAGGTCATGGCTACATGTTCACTGTTCAATGCTCTATGCTCAGCACAGTGCAGAGTCCAGAAAAAGCACTTAGATACTTAGGTGGATTCTGTTTAATGAATGAGAGGGCCACAGCCTCCCACCCCTGCCCCATAGAATGCCCACCTTTCTCCTCTTTTATGACCTCCACAAGGTGCCGGGCCTCCTCCTGTATGCACTGCTCTAAGCTCTTCTTTCCTAACCCAAAGTTCCTCAGAGTCATCAGAGCAAACCTTCTTTGCTCCTTCCATGTCTGGCCACTGGAGAAGACCAATCCTGGAAAGAAGCAATACAGCGGTGTAGCATTGTGATTCTGATGTAAAACTATCTGACAAACGGATGGTCACATGTATGATGGAAAGAAGGGCCCATAACAGACTTGACAGCTGTCTAGAGAGAGACAATAGCAGAAAGCAAGGTCCATAAGGGCTAGCATCTCCTGGTGGCTTACAGCATCACTGTTTTGTCAGTATTTTTAATATATTCTTTAATTTTAATAATCTTAGAATAACACAAAAGTTATTGCCAGAATATTCCAGATCTTACAATATGCAGAAAAAAGAGATGCAAGGGCTAAGTAAAACTTTAAGGACCACAGTAACTAGGTATTAATGAGGTGATGAAATCCAATTCTCAGCAGAACGAAAGCATCTACACTTTAGGTTTAATATGTATGTATGTATGTATATATACATACATACACCCATATGTGTTTCTGTGTTGGTGTTTCTTATTATCTATATCAGGCAAATTGCTAGGAACCACTCCCATTATCACATTCTGTACAAGTTGTGCTTCTCTAAAGCAGTGAATCAACTTTCTGATTCTGCAACCCTTTAAACAGTTCCTCATATTGTCATGACCCCGACCATACAATTATTTTTGTTGCTAGTTTACAACTGTAGTTTGGTTACTGTTTTGAATCATATTTTAAATATTTGATATCTCTAACAACCTAGTGACCATCTGAATGGGTTGCTCAATGGCCAAAGGGGGTGGTGCCCCAAGGTTGAAAACCACTGCTCTTAAGGACTAGAAGTGATAGAATGGATCTAGAGATATTAAAGCAGTGTTTATTAGTCTGGTGTTTTAGGTAGTCTAAAAATGGCTGTCTTTTAATGGAAAGGCAAATAATGCTATGATTGTTCAATCTATGAGGCTGGATGTCTCAGCTAGTCCTCTGCATACACTGGAATCCAAAAATGTATATTCTCATACCAGTGAAGGAATTCTTCATCAGCAGGATATCTGAACTTCCCAGTGGAAGTGAGGGCAAGGAAAGCAAACAGCAAAAGCTTCCTTTTTCCATGTTCTTTTACGTGGGCTGCCAGCAGAAGGTATGGCCCAAATTTAGAGTGGGTGTTCTGATTTCCAGCGATGCAGATTTAGGGTAGGTCTTCTCACTTCAGAATTCCAAAGAAGCAAGTCTCTTCACTTGTTTGCCCAGTTTGGATGATTTTGGTTGATTTCAAATGCAGAGTAAGTTGACAACCAAGGTTACCCTTCAAACTGCTAGAGAAGTTTTCTCAGCATCCTGATCTCCTGGTATCTAGATCATGGGGTCATTTTGATATCCTTTTGGTATGCCTGGACTTGTGTTTGTAAGGCTTTAATGCCATCACCCTGGTTTAATTCATAATCTAATTTAGCAACTGGAGTTTATATTCTTCCACCCTTTATATCTAAAACAATTTTCTTAATGTCTTTGCTCCACTCTCTATCTGATATCCTAAAATCTCCTCTGTTTGAAACCACTGAGAAGTCTTCCTGGCTGTTAGAATAAAAATCAGCATTGTGCTCTTTCTGATGGAGGTCAGAAGTACCAAGAGCGCTTAATTATGTCCTTTAAATACCATGCTTGCAACACTGGATGTCTTTCCATTCCTCAAGATATCTCTCCTTTTATGTCCTTTTAAGGATATTATATCCCCTTGACTAATTATTCTTTCAGGTCATTAAATGGATATCATTTACTCAGAGAAGATTTTCCAGAATCCTCGTACAATGTTAGCCATCTTTGACTAAACAACTTCTGCATTGATACTGCTTTACTATTTAATCCCTGGTATTAACTTTTACTGTGCTGACTGGTTTTATATCAATGTCACATAAGTTAAAATTGTTCTACAGGGGGGAGCCTCAATTGAGAACATGCCTACATAAAAAGACAGGGCTACAGGCAAGGCTGTAGGGCATTTTGTTAATGAATGTTGGTGTGGGAGGGTCCATCCCATTTGGTTGCTGTTAACCCTGGCTGGTGCTCCTGGTTTCTATAAGAAAGCAGGCTGAATAAAGCAGGAGGAGCAAGACAGAAAGCAGCACTCCTCCACGGCCTCTGTGCCAGCTCTTGCCTCCAGGTCTTTGCCCTGAGTTTCTGTCCTGACTTCATTTTGGATGAACAGTGTATATGAGAGCATAGCTGAATAAACCTTCTCCTCCCCAAGTGTCTTTGCTCATGGTATTTCATCACAGTAAAGTAACTCTAAGACAGATGTTTAGCATTCTGGTTCTTACAACAGACAGCACAGTGAATTGACCTAGAATTATCCTGAAGAGTAATTAGAAAGGGCCTAAGATGCTGTTTGGTTGCATTAATATATTTCAAATTCTGTGTTCAACTGATGACTTTGTTTCACAATAATATAGCATATTCATACTAACAAATTATAACATTGGCTAGGAGCCTAGACATCCGCATTACTTTAATGATACAGCATAAGCAGCTATAAGCAAGATGACGTAGAAAGAAAAAGCTGACTTACATCCATTTTTCTATGAGTGACATGGAAAAATGAAAGTGAGCACATTTTCTGGCTGTGTTTGGGTGCTATGATTACTTCCTATCAAAGTATATAGAATTAGTTTTTCCAAATATGTGGTTTACCTGGTCTCTACTAGGACACACTATAAACCATCTTATGGGTGCTTTCATTCAAGCAGTGTGGTATCCAGCACCCATTAATGATGGCATTCATGAAGGTATTGGCTTATGAAAGTGATGGATACTTAGGGCACATAGGAGCCTTTTATGTATCTTAAAAATTACAACTCATATCTGACAACACATGAAAGTCTTACCATTTTTATTAAAGACAAGATTTTGCAATGGAAATTGAGGGCGACTCATAAAATTTTCTTCCAGGTGAGTAAAGGCTTCTTTGATTAAAGGCAGACTGGTTACAATCACTGAAGACTTGATTCCAAAATCCAGACTAATAACATTCCCATACTTCTTCACATGCTGAAACATATTTCAACAGTTAGTGGCGAGTTTGCTCAGACCTCTCTGTCCATGGATGACAGACATATGTGTAGTAAATGGTTATCATATTGATAAGTCTTTATTTCCCTGTGAATGATACACGTTGGTATGTTGAAATGATTTTGATTTTCTTTTCTTTGAAATGTCCTAAACGCTAATCAACTTCAAGAATGAGATTCACCAATACAAATTCATTAACAGGAATCAATGAGTGGATGATATTATAGTGTGTATCTCTGTATGATTATTTTAGTACAAAGATTTCAATAAATAATCAAATTTTCTAACTCCTCATTCTGCAGTCTAGGACAGGCAAAACATGTGTATGCCACCTGGTAAAGACCAAGGTGTGTCTGTGTGGGTTTGCTGTAGGTAAGACAAAATAAGGAAAAAATATTTTTGCATTCAATGTGTGTGTGTGTGTGTGTGTGTGTGTGTATGTTGTATGTGAAGGGTGGTGTTGCACATGAGTATGTCAGTGGACATCTTTGGGTAGTCTGTTCTCTCCTCTTACCATGTTTGTCCAGGAGATTAAATTCAGATTACCAAGTATTTCAGCAAGTGCCTTAACCCACTGAACAACCTCTATGACCTGCATGCATGGAATTCACAGTAATGAAAATATCTGTTGCTGGCTTTCTTGTATAAATAGCTATGATAACAGAAGCAACAGCAAAATAACTGTGGCTATTTAAATATTAGAATGTGATTTAGAAGAGGGCTCTGGTAATAGAAGCAACAAAAAGATGGAGGGGCAGAACCCAGAGACAGTGCTGATTGGCTCATGTAGCATTCATGTCACAGAATCCTGTCTAATGTGCAAAAATCGACATGGGTTCTCAGAAGTCTGCTCTGATAATATGTAAAAGATAAAAAAAAGGAAAAGAAAGAAAATGGAGTGAGCTTCAACTCATAGAAGACATCTTAACAGTGACTTGGAATTTATTGAGTAATTTTATACATACAACGATCATAAGAGGCATATTCAGAACGATTGTATGTTGGGGTCCCATTGTTACAGCTAGCTTGAAGTACATGCTAATATCTATGTTGTATAACACAGACCACTTCAGCCTGACAAGAGTTTCTCTTACTTCTGTAATATTCCTGTAATAGTTCTGTGAACTACTACAGAGAAAGCTAAGAGACTATGAGATGGAGGGAAGTAGAGTCCCCCCACATGCTCAACAAGGAGCCACCTTCTTCACTGTCCTCATCCTGTCTTAAATGATGTCACTTTAATGGATATAAAATATCCCATCTTCACTAGACACTTGTTAAACATTCCTTCTAGGCACAGGAATCTAGTGGCATCATTTTATCAAAGGCTAGGTCCAGAGCTGCTCATCTGTCTAAATTTCATATGACATCACAATTGATTGACTGAACATAAGACTCATTGGTCCATAGATTGTCCTGCGTTGTGCCTGGCATGCTAAGCATTTGTTTAGTGTCTCTTGAGTGAATGAGTCGCTGAAGAAATATATCTAGTTATTAAAGGTCATTTTATTCTATAGGAATATATATATATATATATTGAGTTTTTGTATTGAGTCAAATCATGTATGGTTCAAGAACTTATTTTGCCATTATCCCACTGAACAACCTGGGGAAATCAGATTACCGATTTCTTTGACAGTGGAAAATGGACTGTTAAGAGATGATTGCTAATGTGAATTCATGTTTGCGTTTCATGGTGGTTGAATGAAGGCAGCATAAACACAAAAGGGAAAGCCATGCATCAGCTTGTGGGTTATTTTTTTCCTAATGGCAAGAATTAAAATTTAATTATACCTAAGTTACATCATTTAACCTCGTTTGATTATACACAGATATCAAACGGTAAAGCCATAGGTAATACAAAATAGAGAAATGAAAAATTATTAAACTTGTATAATGTTTCCAGCCTCAGTGTCACCATGACCTAATTCTGTGACACCAGACATATCACCCAACCTCATATGACTGTGTAGCAAGACATAGATCTAATAATTTTACCCTGACAAGATTAAATAAAAGCAAGTCTTTTTATTTTTGTAACTTATGATAGCATTTGCCAGAAGCAAACCTACACCAAAGTTTACTTTCTTTTGGCAAAATACAAGAAAAATAATTCTCAAAAGGCCAGAGATTGTTATAACTTTTTGCTTCTAAGTCTCAGAGTCAAATACCATCAAATGGGGCAATCAAGTTGTTACAGTGCTGAGGTTTATGCATGTCATCTTGTCACTTGCTATGTGTCTCTCCTGGGTTAGGCCTGTGAGGTAAACTGTGACTTCTACATCTAAACTGCTGTGAAGAGAATCTCCAAAGGAGCCTGGGAGAGAATTCTGCTTCCCACCTTTCTTTTGCAGCAAAGGACATTCCTTCCCTATGGGACAATTACTGGACGATCACTGGTGTTCACCCTCCTATAGAGAGCTGCAGCTGCACTATACTTATGGGGCCCTTAAGTTGCAGCCATCTTCCTTCTTGCCAGCCCATGCTGCTGAGTTGAGGAGTCAGAGGTGTCAAGCACACACTGGGGTTATTCAGATTCACAATGCAAACTCTGAAATTTCCATTTGAGTCACCACACACAAATGTGAGGCCTGGAGCCTCTAACGCTACCTGGACAAGTAGAGCATGGCCCTAGTGTGTGCATCAGTTTACAGCACACGACACACAATGTCCAGTCTGACATTGCTTAGTTCATTCACTAAGACCCAAGAGAACGTCAGCTTTGTTTAGATGGCACAGTTGTTGGAATGAGGTGAAAAATTAATATTTCAAAGTGGCTATTATAAAATTATTCCAAATAGTAGGACATCTTAACAGAGAAAAGAAAGATAAGCAGAATAGGCATCGATTTGAGGACAAAAAAAAAACTGCCATGGCTTCTGTGGAGATTTGCACAGCAGAGCTTGGCAGAGAAGCAGTGCAGAGGGGAGAGGCAGCTCTCCCATGCACAGCACAGAGAAAGCTGATGGCAAACAGCAAGACCCAGCACCATAGATGTCATGGCTGTGCACCCATGTCCTGAAAACAGGAATGTGTAGATGAGAAAACACTTGGAAAATGGTGGAAACTTCCTAGTCTGGCAAAATGAAAGCCTGCCATGTAGATTCCAACAGCATAAAGCCCCAAATAATACAAAACCACCACAATCAATATGGAAACTGAATCTCTTGAAAGCAGAGATACAAAACAACAACAAACAAACAAACAACAAATAAAACAAAACAAAAAATCTTTAACACTTATAGGGAAACCACAGAGGCCAGCAAGGAGTAAGAGAACATCTGAAAATGCGAGTGCCTCTGATCATCACCCAAGTTGTCTATAATCAGGGGAGAGTCAGTGTGGAAAGTAGGGGAAAGGCATTCTGAGGAGGGGAACAGCTAAGAGGTTTCCTTCTGCTACAGTCTCCTCTGAAGGTTGGAAGAAGAATGTGCTTGTGATCAGAAAGGAAATGATGAACTTGAAAGGTCAGAAAAAAGACAGCTATGGGAGGACGAGTAAGGGGCAAAGACAACAGACTCCTGTGCCTTCGAGTCCCAGCTGCACTGACACTGAAGAGCAGGGCAGTGTGGGATGTGGGTCTCAGTGAGTGGGGACAGCACCTGGGCAGTGCATCATACAGGGGAGAGGGCTCCCCCATGTTTGTAGTTGCTGCACTACACATGGAAAATGCTGTTAGCAAACTCTCATGTGCTGTATGTGTGTATTGAATAATGCAGAGCAGATGCTGGGAGGAGAATAGTAGAGATGTAAAGAGAGAAGATGAATAAAAAGGCATCCACTCAGAGAGTGTCCAAGAAACCCGTGTGGCAGGATAGGAAACCAAAAATGAAAGAATGAAAGCAGAGCAAATAGAGAAACCACAAAACAATAAAACATTGAGTTTCAATGCTTACATGTAAATTGTAAAGGGATATGTTCTATCTCTCCCAATAGATGATACTTGAATAATAAAATAATTGCTCAAATATATGCAGTCCAGATGAATGCAATTCTAGTATTATATGTATTTAAAAATAAAAGAACTGAGATGAAAAAGCCTTTTACATACTGACCAAAGGGGAGGTCACAGGGTGTAAAAGATCAGAGAAAATTTAGGAAAAACAAATTTACTCTGGATAAGGAGGGAAATTACAAAACCACGGTTAAGTCATCAAATGTTGCCTGCCAATCTCAAATGTCACTGTTTACACAGAACTACCCAATTTAATCAGGGAGAGCTTCCAGAACTGAGTGGAGAAATGGTCACTCCTCCAGGGGAATTCGACACTTTCTTGTGGCTTTCTTAGTGATACCATCAGTAAGTGAGCAGTCAGCAAGGATGTATAAAAACTAAGGCTCAGTAAGAGAGAGCTAACACCGACGACGACTAGATTCCCTTTCTGGTTGCACAGAGGGCTGTTGTCTGGGACGGTGATCTGTAAGTTTTTTCCTCTTTAAATAAATACCACTCTATTAATCATAAAAAAAAAGAGAGAGCTAACACCTAAACCTAAGTTCAGTGAAGAGGAGTAGAACACACCTCCCCCACTCCATTTTTTTTTCCTGAGAAGCATTTTAATCAACTAAGATTAGACCTAGACTTTCCCACACTTCTTAAAGCAGCAGGACATATCTGTCTCTATCATCATTGACTGTTAAATCATCACACAGATCTGGATATATTTAAAGAATTCAAATCACACAGTGTGTTCTCTAATCTAAACAGAATCATCACCTAGGAAGTATGTCATTGAAAGAGAAGAAATTCTCCAATTATTTCTCTCTCTCTCTCCTTCCCTCCTTCCCTCCCTCCCTCCCTCCCCCCTCCCTTCTACTCTCCCTCCCTCCAAACCCCCTCTTTCTAAGACAGGGGTTTTCTGTGTAGCCAAGGCTGTCCCGGAATGGTGCTGTAGACCAGGCTGGCCTCACACTCACAGAGATCCACCACAACTGGGAGGCTGAGCTGCATATTTCTTTTTTTTTTT